GAGGGCTCTGCTCTCTGTGGCTTTTTTGTGGGGTAGGCTCTGCACAAAGAGTCTAAAGAACGAGTCACACAGATGTGAGATGAGAGGGGGCGAGTAAAGGCAGTGGGAAGACAATGGCCTGAGGTTAATCAACGGGAAAAGTGTTTCTGTCCTTTATCTGAGTTGCTGAGATGAGACACTCGACATGGATTCAGGCAGTTCAGGGACTTCAGATGCTTTGTATTCAGAGACAACCCTCTCATTGCATATGTGCTTGTTTACAGCTCAGCTCCCTCATTTTCATTCCTGCCTTGCTTTGGGAACTTTACTGTGGACTGGTGCAGGGTGGGACAGAGTGAGTGCTGTCCCCAAATCTACAGCCACTGCACACACCCCACTCGTGCTCTGCTCTGGCTTTTTGATGAAGTTTAAAAAATGTCATTAATGAACCATCAATGAAGGCTCTGCCATTCCAAGTGGCAGATGGAATAGAATTGACTCAGCTGGATGGAGAGTCAGGAGATGAGGGGGGGAACATGGAGCACTAACACGAGCTCATGAATTCCACCAGTTGATGTCCTGTCCTGAGACTTGCTCTTTCCTCTTGTTCCACAACAGAAAGGCACAAATAGAAGGATTGCACCTGAGATCTGGAGCCTGCTCTGCTCTAACCACACCAGGCAGCACATCCCTTTTAAGTGCAAACCAGTGCTAACTGTGCAGATCTCCTTCCCACTGGGTATATCCTCAGTCTCTAGGTGTCAGAGATTTTGCTCTAACAGGTCAGATCACTTTGTTCTAAGAAACTTGCTCTGTATTTATGCTCTACATTTCTTCTGACAGATTTCTAGAAAGCATTTAGTCAAAGTCTTCCATTCCTACCAACAGAGGCCTGCAGCAGCAGTCTTGCCAGCTGCACACCAGACTGAACACCAAGGGGCAGTTCAAAGGAGCTTGGAACAGGGGAGGATAAAGGAAAGGAAATTTTCCTCTCCTAAACCCTGGGAGATAGTTAGGGGGTAAAAAAGAAAAAAATAAAAAGGCTACGTTGTTTCAGGAAAAAAATATTTCAATCTTTTGGGAAGAAGTAATATGTGGGATTTAGGAAATCTGAATGTAATTGTAAGAAAGAATGGTGACACTGCCTCAGTGCTGTGGGAAATCAGATGCTTTAATGGAGAAATAGAAAGAGGTAGATTTAAAAGCAACAGGAAAGCAAAATTTCCCTCAAAACCTCAACTCGCTTTCGTTACCACTATACAAATGACAAAAGATGTTATGACAATGTTTGTGGGTTTATTGTTTTTTTGTTTTAGAGCTGCCTTTGTCCAGTAACCCGTGCAGAAGCACATGTCATTTTTAATCTTCAGCCTATCTCCCTTTCAGCACCATCCTTTTATTGGATTCAAAACTCAGCAGGGACTTAGATGCTTCCCAGAACAAATACCTTTCATCCCCTACTTCTTCTTCAATCACCACTGAACAAATAAAACATCTCCTGACTGAATCCAGCTGGCCATTGCCAGCACACTGTTTAATAACAAGTCAGGAGTTTTACAAAGGACTCTTATTCCCTCTCACAGGCTGCTATAACAGCACACCAACGAGGGAAAATCCGTGACAAACCTATCTGGGTTTTTGCATTATCAGCAATTTGGGTTTCTGAATTATCAGCAACAATAAGGGAAAAATATGATTCAACAGAAGCATTTCAATCTTTTTTTCTTTTTTTAATAATTTTTTTTCTTCAGCTTGATTGGTGTTACTGACAGCAGGTTTCCTCCTATGGAAAACCCTTCCTTTACTAGTGTGAGAATGGGATTTGATGGGATGATGAGGCTGAGTCAGTGGGAACTGCCTGTGTGCACCTCTGGGATGGATCAAACCTTGGCTATGAATGAGAACACACAGACCATGAGATTCACAGCAGTGTGGGCACATTTAACAATGACAAAGGGAAGTGCCCTGAGCTAATCTTGCCAGATCCTGCCTTGAAGATCAGTGCTCCTCTACAGAACACTTTGTGCACAAATTCTACATTTTTTTATTCTCAGCATATTTCTTTTTGTTTGTGAGCTTGTTTTGTTCTGCATGGTAAACACAGCATGGCCCTCACAGTTTTAAGACCACCTACCTTTAGACCTTGAGAAACTAATGTTGACTTAGGAGGGATCTCAATGACTCATTGGCATTCAGTCAGAGTGCCAACAACAATCAAGGTCTCTCCTTCATTTTCTATTATTTAGGTGCTAAGTGAAATGTTTACAGGCTTATTTTTTGGCACAGTCAATAAAGGATTGGTTCATATGTGACAGAACTGGAGAAAATGAGATTAGAATAGGTCTTCACAGTAAAAAGGAGGCCCTGGTTGAGTTTTCCTTCCTTCCCAGTTGTGTTGGGGGTCTCATGGACACAAATGGCAGATGATTCCATTACTTCTTGCTGCATCTGAGACCTCTGACCCTCAAAATAGGTGTGGGGTTCCTTAGATTTTAGGGCAGGAGAACATTTCTGTGGGTTGTGAATGGAGGACAGAAGGTTGGATAAAGAACTGAGGAAGAACAGAACCAGGGACAGGAAGACATAGAACAGATTTGGAATAAAAGGGACTAGATCCAACTCTTTCCCACTTCAGCCCAACTGAGGACTAAGCTCCCCAGCAATGCAGCAGCTCCCTGGGCTGGGGCAGTAGTGGTGAAGTTCATCTCCAACAGAAGAACATCCATGTCAGTACCTGATCACCAAATCAACACTCTTTGCCATGGCAACCAAATATTTCACCTGCTCTTAAAACCCCCAACGTGGGAGACCCCACAGCCTTCCAAGCAGTTGTGTTCCAATACAGCAGGTGTGCTCCAGTCTCCTCCTTCAGACAGCACTGCTTTGGGACTCTGCACTGACAGAGCTAAGGAAAACCAAGCAGGTGGTGGGTGACAAGCACAAAAATATTGAGCAGTCATAGAATTTGAATCTTCCTGGAGGTCTCCTCTATCTTCACCCTCAGTAGGCACTCATGGAGTGAGGTGGATGGATGGAGTGGGGCAGGAAAAAGGAACTGACAGATTCCCACTTTGGGCCAAGATGTGAAACTATCAGATTGTATTTTTTTTTACCAGGAAATACCTAAATTCTCTCATTTCACCCAATTAGTAGGTGCCTTCTTCCACCCAAACTAAAATGGGGGGGGGGAAGAGAAACCCTAAATAACTGGAATTGATTGTCAAAACTGATTTGGTCTTGGGGCACTTTGTGATGAAGATGTGCCAAACCTAGAATTTGACTAGAGGCAACCTGTAATGAAATATGAATCTGGGCTGCCTTCACTGGAGCATCTCTGGAACTTTGGAAAGCAGATGTGGCTCGACAGACACTGAGGTATCTCATGCTGGTTAATGCTGGCTGGATACTGGACATTTTTTGCATGATACAATGGGAATTTGAAAAGGCAGACTATCTTCATTCACAGCATGTACAGGAGAGTGCTTAATTGCTGCTTCTCAGTTGTTTTCAATGCTGAAGCTGACTGCAAAATTTAAATCTTCAAGTCAAAGTTTAAATACCACAAGAACAATTTAAAATAGATCAGCTGGGCCACTTCTGTGTTGAAAGCTGGATACATTTATACCATCTTATCTAATTGTTTTTGTGTTATTTACTCAAGCATTTATAAAAGATTCAGCATAAAAGCAGGGAATATAATTACAGTGAATAATTTGCATTCTTTATTCAGTGTAAATTAATTCAGGTCTCCAAGCACTATGGGAATTAGCTTTATATGCACAGTAGAAGGCTTGAAATAGAAGTTTAAATTGATGCATCATAAAAGTTCCCATTGAATGTTTTAAAGTTTTTTTTCTTCCCATTAGCATAGATTATTCTGTTTATAGATACTGGAGTGCAAGAAGATTTGTATTGTGAGTAGAAAAGGCCTTGTTAGGAATGTTCAAGAGGAAAACTTTGCCTAAGACTTTGTAGGGATGCTACACTCCAGGAAAACAGGAATTCTTTCACTGAGGTCACTGTCAATAATCAAGTTGTAAACCTGGGGAGGGGAGGGAGAGAATTCCTCCACAGCAGTTAATCCTCTGCTATCAGAATAAGGTTTCTCTCAAGGATTAGCACTGCATGGCACTCAGTGGAGGTGGTTCTAAATTCAGTTGAACTCTTCTAGACAACACAGCACAAACAGTACAGAAATACCAGTCAGGTAATCCAAGAAATAACGCAGAAATAACCCACCAGGCCACTACCTATGAAAATATATCCCTGTGACTCAAGCTTTGTGCCTACAATACATTTGGTGACTGATGCACATCTGCCTGTTCCTTTCCACTAATTTTCCTTTCCTCCTGTCCTCTCCCTTTTCCCTGTATTCCTAATTTTCAGTTGCATATCCACTGGACCTACCAAACTCCCTTCTGTACCCTGAGACAGGGAAGTGTTTCTATGCAGTCTCCTCAATTTGTATTCATTGTTTCGTGGGGACTGGTGGGGATTAAGCTCCTCTAATGATGTTCCTCCTGTTATTTAAGAAAACTTCTAAGCTTTTAATGAAAGAAAAATCGAAATTAACCCAAAGCAAAATAGAAAGATTTCCTTCTATCTCCTTTGGGTTTAGATCTTGGCATTATCTGGCAGGGAATGTAAAATGCCTCCTGTTGTCATGCACTGCCTTACATTAAAGAAAAAAAAAAAAAAAGAAAACTTGCCCCCAAAACTCGCAACTTGACACGCTCAAATCTCAGTTTCCCTTAATGAAGCACTCTGTGCTCACCAAAATTTTTGTGCTGCATCAATAAATCACGCACAGTTCTCTCCCTGAACACAAACTTCAGCTTTAGGCTTCAGCTCCTACGCACAGAAGGCTCCAGCACAGCATCAGTCAACAAAACCATGGATGTGCCCGGGAGCGTCAAAGCCATGACCAGTTTTCCAGACCTGGACAGAGTTATCAGAGGGCTTTGAGCAGCCCAGTAAGTGTCACCCACGGAAGTTAGAAGCATGCAAAACACATTACTCACCTCAAGCACAAGAAAAGCATAAAGGCAACTATAAGGGCCCCTACTGAAATACAGTGCCCCAGGTAGTTTATGATGAGAGCAATCTTGTAATGGAGCGCATACTTCCTCTGGAGGTAAAGAGATAACAGGATTAAATCAGCATGAATCTCTAAGCACTGACATCAAGGAACAGTTAATCAGTTTAGAAAACAGTAATTACTTTTCTCAACCTTGCAATGATATAACAGCTCCAGGGCTGATGCCTATATATAAGCCAAACATATTGCCCAGGCATAGAAGTACAGGCTTGGTGTGGTTTCAGTGTGGGATTTGCCAACAGTTTATTACAAATATCTGCAAAAGAAGTTATTTTCTCCCTGTTTCTTTTTTCTTTTTTTTTTTTTCCCCTGCAATTTCATCAGGATTTCTTGTTTTCATTATTATGCTATTTTAAAACTTCGTCATTTCAGGGCTACAAAACTACCAAAGACACATCTTCTCAGAGTTTCAAAAGTTATAAAACATTATTTTCTTAGGAAACAGCACTGTCTTTAGGAGCCAGGTTATGCCACTTTCCTGCTCAAATGGCTTGGTTTTCATACAAAAAATTCAGTAAGGAGTAATAAAGCCTTCCCATACAGGCAGATTTTCCTCTGAGGGACATTCCTTTCAAGCTAGGATCTTTATCCTTCCAACTGAGGAAGAGCTGGAATCTGGTGGTGTCCCTTCAGTTCTGAGAGAGCCTGACAAACCAGAGATCCTGTTGTTTTTAGAAGCAACCCAAGTATGTGATGAAGCTTCATGTGCTGGTGTCTGTTTCCTAGGATGGGGGGAGATTATTGGTAGGTTCTAGATCCCGCAAACAAAAAATTAAGTACCAAAGAGCTCCCACCTAAATCAGTGAATTTAGGGGTATGACCAAAAATCTGGCCTTGCAGTAACTGGAATGTTCTTTATTGGTGGGCTGCTGCTGGTTTCAGAAAAGAGAAGCATCTCCTTTCTTTCCCCGATGGATAGAAAGAAGTAGAAAAACACTATTCAGATAAATACTGAAGCTGGTTAAAAAGGGACAGAGGTTTGCTACTGAAAGAACCAATCCTCCTGAAAAATATATTCATTTATTGGGTTTGGCATTTGTTTCTTTTCAGGATAAGCAGATCTTTCCCCAATTTGGAATGTTGTCCTCCTTCAGAAAAACAAGACCCTTGAGAACTAACCACCTACATTTCCTCCCTTGTGACAAAAATATAAAAGCAAAATCCTACAAATGGCACCAGTTTTCTAATTTTAGTTGAACTTCCTTTTTCCATTTTTTTTTCCTAGCAATTTCCCTTAATATTTTATTCCAGTCAAAGGAATTTCTCAGTGAATGAATGTTTGGCTGAAACTACAACCAGCAGCTGTAGTTAATCTGTTCCATTGTTCTGTGAAGATAGCATCTTCCAGCACTTTGCCAAAAAACTCTCTTGGAATCATTTCTGTGATGAAACCTGCCTACATCTTCAGCACACGGAGTAATGTGCTGCTTCTGGACAGAACTCAACCATGCAAGGTATTTTTAAGTCCATTATAAAATCCCCTAAAATAAACTTCCCCATCCATGGGCCCATTTTGTGAATCGCCTCGAGGAGAAAAGAAAAAAAACCAGCAAAACAAACTTACAAAATCCAAATTCCACAATGAGTTTTATTTATCCTTAAGACACAGGGACACTTAAAGGGAAGGAAAAAGACACTTGACCTGATGTGCCTACCTGTGCAGTGCTGTATTATTCAGGGAGTGCCCTGGTAAACTGCATGGCTTAATTACTCTCCTGCTTAATAAACTCATGGAATCACAGAATATCTCAAGTTGGAAGGGACCTGTAAGCACCATTGAATCCAAATCACTACTTCTTGCAGGACTTCCTAAAACTAAACCAATATGACTAAGAACTTTCCTCAGAATTGCTCGTGTAGTGCTAGATATCTTCTGGAAGATGACAACATTTTTCCCAGGACAACGATCCTGCTCTTTGAGTCTGACCCTTCAGCTCCTTCCTGTGGCTCCTGACCACTGTTTCAACTTCACTCAAGTTTTAAGAGGGCATAGTTCAAAGCATTAGAAGACTAGTTAGAAAAATAAAATTATTAAACTCCTGTTTGATGCACTGATGCTGAAGGAAAAACAGGCACGACTCTCATATTTTCAGTTTCTGGCACTAACAAGGCTTCCCAAAGGCAAAATCAAATATCATAGAAACAAGAACTGCCTCAGTGCCTATGAAAAACTAAGCTGACAGGGTGGCAAGATCACTTTCCACCAGCCTACATGCAATCTGCATCTCTGGTGGATTTGAAGACGGCACCTTCAGGGCTGAAAAACACGTGCTCAGAATCAGTCATGTGTTGGCCAAAGCTCAGTTCATGTAAAACACTTTTATAACTCCTTTCTGTCTCGCCCTCGTGAAGACCAATACATCTAAAATGTCAACAACCTTCTACTGTTACCCAATATTCTTCTGCTTCCAGGAAGATGTTTCACTTCACTGAAATGAAGATATAAATTCTATTCAGGCTTAGGAGGAGGGTTTTTACACAAGAAATTAGCTAGAAAAGGAGATCGTAGAATCACAGGATGGTTTGGGTTGGAAGGGATGTTAAAGGTTGTCTTGTTCCAACCCCCTGCCAAGGGCAGGGACACCTTCCACTAGACCAGGTTGTTCAGAGCCCCATCCAACCTGGCCTTGAACATTTCCAGGGATGGGGAATACAAAGATGGTCTGCACACCAGTAGCCTTGCTCTCTGATCACAGCAGGTCACACCAGTGGAATCCTCCTCCATTACACACAACAATCATGTTACACCAGACAGTGCAGAGGTGTCTCCCACCAGCTTCTACCAGGTAAGCTGAGGAAGCACAGCTTTATATCTTTACCTGCACCAGCCCTGCAAATCTAAGACATGGTGGGCTCCCTGCAGCCAGATCTCAGGTAATTGTGGAGTTGTTCTGTGTAGAGCACTTTTCCCCTTGCTTCAGCCAGAATGTGACAGCCAACCTGTCCAAACCAATTCAGCTAATGATTTGACTGAATGACCACCTAATGACAGCACTCTTTAGTCCAATTGACAAGGATTTTTCTCCCTCTAACAGAACTTACTGGCAGGTCCTGCCAGTGTTTACAGCTCATGTCTCCCTGTGGGGCTCTGCACTCCACTGCCAGTTCAGTCACTTTAGATTTCTTCCTGTTGCCAGCATGATCTCATCACCAGCACGGTTTAAAGACACCACATCTCCTCTCCAAGGACTTTCAGAAGCCACTGGGAAGTATCTTTGTCATCCAAGATGCCTCTGAGTTGACTGCTTTCCTGTTCTGAGCCAGCTGGAAGCTGCATAACTGTGCCTGGTGTGGCTGTGCTCCTATGCAGGATATATTAGCTTAAGCCCAGCATGGTGCTAACTCAGCTACACAGCTTGAAGCCACCTCAAAACATCAGCAGAACCAAATTCATATCCAGCTGACATAGGCCACATAGACAAGACCAAAGTTCCTAAATTATAGCTCTTTTTGGAGGCTAAGATGTATTTTTTTTTTTGCTGCCTGAGACTCATTTTATTTCTAACAAGCACAGATCTGTGCTCGATGCAGCAAAAGTCCTTTTGACACAGGAGCTTGCAGGCTGAGTAGAATTTTTGCATTTGTCACACGCTGTGCCATCAAGCAGCCAGTAGGATCAAACTTATTTCTGTACCTTATTCTTGTGCCTTGAGAAGGAGCCAACTATTTGTTCAGAGGGTGAGATTCAGTCTGACATTAGGGCACCAACATCTGGGTATCTACCCAACATCAGCAGCAAGGGAAAGAAGTAGTGCACACACAGACATCAGTGACCCTTGAGGTGCACTCAGCAGACTCTGCTTCCCAGCTGGCCTTGGTGACTGACCTCCAACTGCTGCTGTTTAATCACGGAATCATTAAGGCTGGAAAAGGCCTCCAAGACCGAGTCCAACAGTTCACCCAGCACCGCTGAGTTCACCACTAAACCATGTCCCCAAGGGTCACACCCATGTGCTTCTTGGACACTTCCAGGGATGGTGACTCCACCACTTCCCTGGGCAGCCTGTTCCAATGCCTGGCCACCATTTCAGTGAAGAAATTGTTCCTAATATCCAATCTAAACCTCCCCTGGTGAGGCCATTTCATCTTGTCCTGTCACTTTTGTTACCTGGGAGAAGAGACTGACCCCCACCTGGCTACAACCTCCTTTCAGGCAATTGTGGAGAGCGATGAGGTCTCTCCTGAGCCTCCTTTTCTCCAGGCTAAACACCCTCAGCTCCCTCAACTGCTCCTCATCAGACTTGTGCCCAGACCCTTCCCCAGCTCTGCTGCCCTTCTCTGGCCATGAAGGACCCGAAGGGCACAGGTATTCCAAAGGACTGTCACCTGCCAGCTACATGGAGACACACAGGGGCATTTTAAACTACAGGACACAACTCCACACAGGGAATTAGATCCCAGCCAAAATGGGAATCTATGAGCAAATCAGTCCCAGACTGGAGTTTTATCAGCTGCTGCCACAGGTCTCGACCACAAGCAGAGCCATGATGTGTTGATGCAATCCAGGGAATGTGTGTTACTGAGCTGATGCCCCCTGAGACTGACCCACAGCTGACAAATCCCTAAAATTTCCCTTGCTACATGATCAAAACTCTGCCATAAAACAGGTAGAGCTGGGGATGGGGCATGTTCCTGTCCCATCTATCAATCACTGAATTCAGAGTCAAACCATGTGATTCTTCAGCACTCTGGCTGTGAGTGGCCAAACTTGACAGCAGTGTTGTTTCCTGTATTAAAAATAAACACAAATCACAGGGCACACCTCCCAGCTGATGCTTAGCATCTGCTAGGCTCAGTCAATAAATAACAGGAGAAACATGTGTGTGCCTGAATCTCACCTTTAATCAAACCCCCAGAGAAATCTATGGGGATTTTTTTTCCTAGTTTTTTTGGACATCACAAAGCAAGTATTCATCCGTAACACTGAGCATTAGGAGAGATTTCAAAAATATTCACAAATATTAATATCTGCAAAGCTTGTTGCAAATCTTTGAAGATCTAACAAATGAGTTTTTAAGCTTCTATAAGCAAGGGTGGGGAAACATCTGCACTTTCATCTGTTTAAGAAACACGCTATTTGAGTAGTTTTAAGCTATCACCATAGCTGCAAAGTTTTTGAAAGCAAAAACAGAGCACAGGAAATAATCCTGTCGTCTAGTCACAACACTTCTCCAGCCTTTTCAAACAAAACTCCTCTGTGTTTGCTGGTGCAGAGATAGCAACTGTTGGAGCCATGCAAACACATAAGGAGGGCCATTAAAATGCAGCAGCACTTTCCTGAGCAGCACACTGTTATCAGCTCAGGTTTCCTGTACCAGCTAAACCACATCAAAGATATGGAGCCTTCACCCATCTCTGCTCCCCGTTCTCTAAACCAGCACTGGCTGCTCCACCCCCCCCCCTTGCTCATTTTTAAGAGGGTGGTTTCACAGATGTGCAGATCCCTTTCAGGCAGAGCTGGTCGGTGTGTCCCCCTCAATCCCACCAACGCCCTCACTGCCCTGTGCCTGGGCTGGCCCCAGCACTCCTGCAACAAAATGCTGTAGGGAACTGAATCATCCAAAAAAACGACCCAGCAACAAGTTAGTTTTTCATTTTAAGTGGGAAAGAAATGTAAGGAGGGGCTGCCCTGGGGTGGTCCTTACTTAGGTCAGTTTAAATTGCCATGAGAGCATCATCACTCTGCTGGATCACCTGGAACATCCCTCTGGATGGCACTCAGGTATTGGTACATTTTTTTTCCTAATTTCTAGAAGCCTCCAGCAAAAGGAAGGAGGATGGGGTGCCACCAAAGAACTTAGCTAGTGGGTAAGAGCAGGTCCTCCTCAGCAGCTGGTGTGTAGTTACCTGTTTTCTGAGTCACTGGTTCAAAGCCCACATTGAGCAAACACATTGATCTCACAGGATGGATGCTGGACCTAAGACAAAGCACATCCTGACTGTTTGGGGTACAGCACTGCTCCAGATAGTTCCTGAGTACTAAATGTGGGATCTTGTCCACCTCCCCTCTGCAACTGGCACAGCACAACTGCAAACACGGAATGAGCTGGATGAACCCCAAAACTTAAACAGAGCTGAGCTGCTGAGCTCCACCCTGATTCTTAGAGGGGACAGTCACCCCTGGCAGAGACAGCACAAGGACTGTGTGTGCTCCTGCCCCACCACAGCAATCAAAACAGGATGGAGAGGAAGAGAACCTGGTGTGAAAGGCTGGAAGGCTTAAACTGTGTGAGGGTGAATGTCTGCCATGCCTCCAAGAAAAGCTGAGACATTTGACAAGAAAAGGGCTTTGCATAATTGCTTGCAGCCTTTTGGAAGGAGCTTAACCCCATATGCTAATTGCAATCTGTAAACTCCTATATCATGGAAGACTGGTTCAATCTTTTAAAGGCAGCTGAGACCTGAGTCTGCTTTTTATGTATTTTTCTTTTGCTGCCTCTTTACATATTTGCTTAAGGAGAAATGACATTGAGATCTGTAAAGGTCAGTTGTTGATGAGACCTCAGAATGGACAGATACAGGGTGGAATCAGCTGGTTAAACTTGTTTTTTAGTGCCAAAGAGGCTTTTGGTCTTAATGTTATCATTACTAACATTTACTGTAGCATCTGTAGGCTCTGAACAAAGCTAAGAAAAATCTGCATAAACATACATCAGCAGGGACAGAGTGTGATAAAAAGCATCCTTTTTTAAAAAACATGTGAGTAGGGGATATGGAGAGAGGACAAGTGATTTGCCTGAATTCACAGGGAGGTTTTGTTGCAGAGACAGAAATGGAATCTCTCTCAGAAGTCCCAAATTAGCATGTTAACCTTAAGTTTAGCTTTGCATTCACGTATGAGAAATGTCATTGAGAAGAATGAAGGTAAAAATACAGACCTTGTCATCCAGAATAGGCTCACACTGAGAGTAGTTTATCTTGGAAGCCCATGTCCCATTGCCCAGGCATTCTCTGTAGGCATTTCCTGGTAGAGACCAAAATAAAAGAGAGATGAACAGTCTGTGATGGACTTTAAACAGCCTAGAAATCTCACAGATTTGAGAAAAGATTAACGGAACAGATTATTTACAAGGCAAATTAACTTATCCCACCTCCGTGAGGACTAGAACAGCCCACTGAGGAGAGAAATAAATAACATGAACACAACTAGAGACTACAAGTATTTAAAGATATTGATTGATAGTGTTTTCTTACAGTCTATGAGTTCAGAAGACAGAAAAGGTATGAGAAGAACGTTGCAAGAGAAAGCTTAACGTTGGTATAGTCTTTTAAAAAGAAACTATACTCAAAACCAGAGAGGTTCAGGGGTTCAGTGCCCCCTCTGTGAGAATGGTTTGTGCATGGTGAACTTACTGCTCTACCCCCCTTCCATTTATCCCACTGCAAACTAGACAAAACATTCCCGGAGATGCTGATTTTCTGGAGTCTTCCTGTGCAACACTATTGCTGGGAAAACTTCTGCAAAAAACATGAGGAGCAAGATCAGCACATCTCCCAAACCTGGGACAGGTAGGATGGGGGGGATTACACAAGAATCCACCCAGAATTATTTCAGAAAGGGGTCCCTCCAGGTTAGGATGTGTTCACCCATTGTCTGTGGAAAAGAAACCACTTCTGGTCTTTTTCCAAGGTTCCAGTTCTCCCCAAATGTAAGTGAAAATCAGAAATTGCTTTACTGAAGCAAAGAGATTTCATGGCCAATTGTAATGTAACCCCGAGGAGCTCTGAGAACTGCATGTAATGATACTGGGGGTGAGGAGGGGAGTTCAATTTCTGGCAAGAATTCCTCTTCATCCCAAGGAACTCCGAGGGAAAACTATGCAGTTTTGCTGTACAAACTACCTTCCTCCACTCATCAAAAGTACATCCAATTCCAAGCAATATTTTTTTTTTTTTTACATTCTTATTTTGAACTGTTTCTTAGAAACAAGAGAATTAAAATAAAACAGGAAATTCAGAAGGATCCCCGAAGGACAAATGCAGGCGACTTCCCTAATGAACTCTTCATGATGTTCCTGCTGCCCTTTATCCAATTTCTTCTTGGGCCTTTGCCATGGTCATTCAGTGCTAGTACAGCACCCAGCCCTCAGGAAAATCAGAAATAAAGGCATCAGATTGAATGTTTCTAAAAGTTCTGTTGACAACAGCCTTTGAAAAACAAAGGTAAAGAGACTTTTTTAAGGTGTTTTTCCTTACAGAGAAGGACAGTCCACATGGAAAGCAACAGGACACTCCAGATTACACCATATCCACACAGAGCACTGATTTTTTTACTGCTATTGTCTACTTGCACTTTTCCACTGCTTCTTTTTGACATGACAAGGTAAAAAAACCAAAACAGTCTGAGTGGGATTTAGGTGGTAGGATCCAATTTACATCTCTCAAAGCCTTTGTATTTGTCCCATCCTTTGGCCAGTTGCTGATCTTGAATCTCTGTAGCAAACTTCTGACTCTCCAGACACTGAGTGGGTGCTTAGTGGGATGTTGAATCCCAATTCCAGGACAGTGCTCATGTGAAACCCTTATTTTATTCATTCAAACCATTGTTTTATTCATTCTGACTCTTCATTTGCCTTGCTGTGCCTTTCCAGCTCAGGTGTGGAGAGCACAAACACAGTCAAGACTTAGAACATAAAACCCACGTCAAGGCAGTTCTTTGAGGAACTTCTTTGAGTTATCTGGGTTTATGAGCTGTCACACCAGATCTCCTACATGGTGAGTATCAGAACAGGAGGAGGATAAAATCAAACTCTGAATTTTTCTAGTCCAGAATCTCCTCCAGTATCAGTCACTTCTCGGAAACAACAGCAGCAAGTAGATCTGACTTCTGGGAATATCTCATTCCAAACTCTAGCAGTCATAACTAATTTATATCCCACAGTAAAGGTCTTCTTTCTTTCTTTCTTCCAAATGTCTTACAGCATGAGCCCTAATAGCCACATGGAAACAAGTTTCTGATCACACTGGATGTATTTTCATATATCTATTTTAATAACATAATGCAGATCTTTTACCCAGTGCTTCAAAGGAGAAATACCTCATTTAGTGAGTGAGGTAATAAAGAGTAAGAACCTCACTGAAGGCACCTGGAGGAAGCAGCTCTTGTTGATGCACAGATGAATCCCATGGCATATAGTGAGTCCAGCATTTCTTGAGGATATTGGATCAATCCCACATGCACTGGATAGAGGCTCACTGTGCTCACAGACACTCAGTCACATCTGGCATGAGCTAAAATTCCTGTGTGTGCTGGTATATCCCTGCACAGAAGACTCTGGATAAAATAATGGCGACTTCAAATAATCATCTTGGCATTTTTCATAGCAGCAAACATCTGCCTCGTGACATCCCTGGTTACTGTCAAAGGCAGCACAGAGAAGATGAGGAAATACAGACACTGGACTCCACGACAGGCTGATTTTCTGGGACATGCAGAGTTGTGGCAGGGATCAAAGCAGTGAAGAGATGCCAAAAATGACAGATACATTGGTTCCATGAGAGAGATCAATGGAAGTGATGTGTCCCCAGCTACAGAGTGTGTAAAGGAAGAGGGAAACCAGCACTGATTGAACGTGCTGAAAAATATTCCTTCTCACCCGGTTTTCCAGGGAGAACTGGGATTAATGTGCTTCGTGCTAGAAGCATTCTTGCTCTTAGCTTTAAAGCACTGTGTATGGAAAGAGACTGGATTAAGTTCAGTTTTTCTTAATGATTGTCATTAAAAATAGGAGAAAAAAAAAAGGGAGAATCATGATGGAGAACTCCATTGTAGAAACAAACAATGAACGCCCAGGAAGAAAAGAACAATTACGTGATCTTTCTAGGGCAAGAAGAGTTAATTATAAATGGAAAGAAATAGAGCTATTAGAACTGTTTTTTTCCTAGTTGAAAAACAACTGTGTAAATTTTCATCTTCTTTGACAAATGACATACTGAAAAATTCTGTATACTTTCTCTTCTTATGATTTCTCCTTCCTTACTGACTTTGTTCTAAAGAAGAAATACACAAAATAAAGAGATACTTGGTGGTTACAACATGTGGTTATTTGTGCTCTGTGGTGCACTTGCACTCACGTAAGACAACTGGACAAGTAGATTTAATGTTCATGCAAACCAATAATGAGTAGTAGATGACTCATGATGGCACAGGCAACACTCAGTCATTATCCACAGAGCTTCTGACACATCATCCAATATTCATTTCTGTGCTTCAGTCGATGGTCTCTTCCTTGATTTTGGAAATGTTGATTTCCTTTTGCTGTGGATTGGTGGCACTTGATTTCCTCTGCTTAACCATTAGTCCAGGGGATGGGCAAGGAGGCAAAAAAGAAATCCCTGAATAGGAAGGAATATGTAGAAGAGCTCAGGTTGTCACTTGGGTTGCTGTTAGCTTCCAGAAAATGTATTTCATCCCCTCAGGCCTGTCAGCACTACATATGCATTTCCCTATCTCCTCTAAGAGCTGATCATAGTCCTATTCCACCAGCAAGACCAACAGCAGCAATGAGAGACCAGATGCACATCACAAGGACAGCAGAAGCACCAACATTTGCAGCTCTCATGGACTCTAAGGTGTTGTAAAAGGGATCTCCACTCCTGAAAAACTTTGTGCCACATCACAAGGGAGGTAAAAGATCTGAGCATGACTACAGCAAAGCCTTGGCAGGAGTAGAACTGGAATACCCTGCTCCTTCCAACCAGCCACCCACAGCAGGAACAGGGACTATTCTGTGTATGAAGCTCCTGTAAAAGCAATTCTTGCTGAGAAGTCCTAGGTGCCAATTCTCCCTAACTCCAGCTTTTGGGGAAGGAGTGTCCAGCTCAGCCTATTTATTTTATGGATCTTCTCTGATTATATTCAAAGAAACAGCCAAATAACTACAAGAATGTCTCACTTTCGTGTATTTGTATACACATGCCCACACCATGTAGAGCTTTAACTTTTCTTAGTGGAGTAAAACCATTTGAAAGCCACTGAGAAATTCTAAGGTAGAGAGTAAAAGATCCTTGAAGGGAGAAAAAACAAAAGTTGCATTTATCCAAATAAACAACTATGATAATCACAGCTCTGTCTATTTTCAGGGCAAATGGGAATTTTAAGAAAGCTCAGCATATCTGTTGTTTCAATAAAGAGAAGCTGATCAACCCAGATTTGAGTACTGTAGCCCCAAAAATAATGGATAGTGATTTTCATCTGGCACGAAGGACATCAGAGAAGCTCACAGGCTTTATTTAGTAGTTTATAAGGACTCCTCACACTCTAGTGTTTGATAAAGGGGGGAGACATCCAAACTGTTCACAGCTTTGCCCATAACCCCCTCAGCACCCCTGCAACTCAGTGCCAGTATCACAAGACTAGTTCTGGGAAAACTGGCATGGGATGTGAGCAGTTTTTCACCAATAAGCTCAAGGACCTTTATCCCAGAACTGAGCTGTGGCTTTCAGGCATCTGAACTCATGCAGAATGAACTCCTCCCAATCGTGTTACACTTTATTAACAACTCTGCTAGACACTCATCTAAAAAGCCTCCCAGTCTGTGTCTAAACAGCAAATGAAGCAGCCAACAGTCAATATTTGTCATCTCAACTGTGATTTTTCTGCTACTTAGAAACCACTGAACCCAGTGGCTGTGGTAAGTCTCAATATTCGGTGTAACTGCTTCAAAACTGCAAGTGCTCACATGAACGTCGGACTTAAAATACTGACAACCAGCAACACCAGACAGCAAAAGCACACACAAAGTAAACACAGAGTAGCTACAAAGGCTGTGCCAACACATGGGCTGAAAACTGTGTCCAGTTCTGGGCTCCCCAGTACGAGAGACACGTGGACATGCTGGAGAGAGAGCAGCGAAGGATCACATGGTGATTAAGGGGCTGCAGCATCTCTCCTTTGAGGAAAGGATAAGAAAGCTGGGACACTTCACTCTGGGAAACAGAAGGCTCGGGGGGATTTACTAATTT